AGCACACTTCCCCCCGTCCAGATGATGTTCTGCTTGAAGCAGAAGAACAGCAAGAAGATCAACTCCCACAGATGGCTCTTCACTGCTATCGGTCGCATTCTGAACCCCGAAGTCTGCATTCTGCTCGATGCTGGTACAAAGCCCGGTCCCAAGTCCCTTCTCGCTCTCTGGGAAGGTTTCTACAACGACAAGGATCTCGGTGGTGCTTGCGGTGAGATTCACGCTATGTTGGGTAAGTTTTCCTCCGATTACAGTATCTCGGTCGTATGAGATATGATGCTGATAGCGAAAACAGGCAAGGGCTGGAAGAACCTCCTTAACCCGCTTGTGGCCGCGCAGAACTTCGAGTACAAGATCAGTAACATTCTCGACAAGCCGCTGGAATCCTCCTTCGGATACGTCTCTGTGTTGCCTGGTGCTTTCTCGGCCTACCGATACCGTGCTATCATGGGCAGACCGCTCGAGCAGTACTTCCACGGTGACCACACACTCGCCAAGATCCTCGGAAAGAAGGGTATCGAGGGCATGAACATTTTCAAGAAGAACATGTTCTTGGCCGAAGATCGTATTCTTTGTTTCGAGCTTGTCGCCAAGGCTGGATCCAAGTGGCATCTCACCTACATCAAGGCCTCCAAGGGTGAAACCGATGTGCCTGAGGGTGCTGCCGAGTTCATCGGTCAGCGTCGTCGTTGGTTGAACGGTTCCTTCGCTGCCGGTATTTACTCCCTGCTCCACTTCGGCCGCATGTACAAGAGTGGCCACAACCTCGTCCGCATGTTCTTCCTGCACATTCAAATGTTGTACAACGTCTTCCAGACCATCATGGCCTGGTTCTCCCTGGCTTCCTTCTGGCTTACCACCGTCGTTATCATGAGTCTTGTCGGCACCAAAACCGATACGCGAGACGCCTGGCCCTTCGGAAACACTGTCACGCCCATCTTCAACGTCATCGTCACCTATCTCTACCTCGCATTCCTGGTCCTACAGTTCATTTTGGCCTTTGGTAATCGTCCAAAGGGTTCCAAGTGGTCTTACCTGGTCTCCTTCTGCGTCTTCGGTCTCATCCAGTTCTACATTGTTATCCTGTCTATCTACCTCGTTGTTCAGGCTTTCACGAACCCGTCCTCGCAGAAACTCGATACTTCATCACCGGAAGCATTCGCCTCGTCCTTCTTCTCGTCGAGCGGTGTCGGTATTATCATTATCGCTCTTGCGGCTACCTTCGGTCTCTACTACGTCGCCTCGTTCCTCTACATGGACCCATGGCACATGTTCACCTCGTTCCCTCAGTATCTGCTCATCATGTCCTCCTACGTCAACATCCTCAACGTCTACGCCTTCTCCAACTGGCACGATGTTTCCTGGGGTACCAAGGGTTCCGACAAGGCAGATGCGCTTCCTTCAGCGAAGACGGAGAAGGGAGCTGACGGCAAGCACAACGTTATCGAGGAGCCGGATCTGCCACAAGCCGATATCGACAGCCAGTTCGAGGCCACCGTCAAGCGTGCTCTCGCTCCTTACGTACCACCTGTCGAGAGCGACGAGAAGACTCTGGAGGACTCTTACAAGTCTTTCCGTACCCATTTGTGCACAGCCTGGATTGGTTCAAACGCCACACTTGCGGTTGTCATCACCCAGGACAACTTTGACCGCTTCGGTTTCTCTGTAAGTTACTTGAAGTTCTTGTCTCGATCATCCTACTAACTCAATTACAGTCAAGCGCCTCCGGCAGAACCGCGCATTTCTTCCAGGCCCTTCTTTGGGCTACCGCCGCGCTCGCCATTGTCCGTTTCGCCGGATGCTTGTGGTTCCTTGGTCGCACTGGTCTCTTCTTCTGCGTGAGGAAGAGGTAGAAACACCGAACCCACTCAAAACACTCATCCTTCGCGGCAGCAGCCATCTTTTGCTAATCAATCATGTTGGCGTTACTCGGTGTCTTGGACCTCAGCGCAAGCTAAGGAGGCTATACGTGGTCTTTCTATGACTCTTTGTCATGTACAAAAAAATCACCTTTGCACATCTACGATGCGGATTGGCAAGATCATGACCTGCTTGTACTATCTGTGTGTTCTATAGCTATAACGGACAACCTTTTGAAATGTCTGGGCGCCTATTTGAATCGGATTGGGGAATGGAGGAAGATATACCGATTATCACATTTGCACGATTAGCTGGGCTTGCGGGTCTTTTTTTTGCTAGATTGAATACTAGAATATGTTTCAAAAATCGTTTGCGTGTGGCATATGCTCGTGTGCTGCTCAGACCTACGCCCCTACGTTTAGCCTTCGACTCTTCCGTTACTCATATTTTGTCGGCCAAGGCTGTGACTAGGGTTTGAATGGTAAGTCACACAACGTCCCTATGTCCTGCCCAGCTAGCTGATCATAGACAAGATCATATGCATTTGCTAGCCTGTCGCATGTCTACTCAAGCTTGATATACCACTCCCCATCCCTCTGCTTCCCTCTCCCAGTATCCAGTACTGGTACATCACCCCACAACTCACTATAACCCAACCCCGCGTACCGCTCCTCTCTATCACTCGTCCTAGCCAGAGCGAACACCGCGCTGCCAAAATCAGAAGACGGCTGTCCCGAAGTACCTGGTGGTACACCCAACTCGTTCCTTATAGTGGGAATGAGTGTGCGCTGCCACATCAAATTCGTATTCGCATCCGGTTTCAGGACTTCCGCATACGTTTTCATCGTTGCATGGTCGGTGCTGTGTGAATCAAGGGCAGCGATGCCGCTGGCGCCGGCGTTGGAGCAGATGAGTGTCGTGTTCTGGGTTGTTACCGTGCCCTGCGGGAAAGATGCTTTGTTTCGGCTTGCTTGGATGGAGAGTTCAGAGCTATGTGCGTGTGTTGGCAAGACTTCACCGTACTTATCGCCGCGGCCTTGGATCGCAAAGCCACCTTGAACGGCCTGGATATTAACCGTACCAGACCCGGTATTAGTGAAGCGGTGCCAGCGGATGTACCAATCTGGCCAGCGCGAGCAAGGAGCTACGATGTGTGTTTGCACCGTGATGTCGGCGTCGGCCCAGGGCTTCCATGTGCTCGTCAAGCATGGTATGTCCTCTACAAATTCGTCGTTGCGCATCAGTTGTGCAGTAGCAAAACGATGGTTTGTGACCTTCCATGGTACCCGCCATGTCTCGCCACAGTCTTTACTCACTGCGAGTGTACTGTCTGGAGCGATTTGCTGTATCAGCGTACCAGTAGGCACGCTGAAACCAAAGTGCGATGAATAAGCGTATCTTCCGTATTTGGCTTCTGTGGCTTTGAGCGGCCAAGGACAGAACTGGCCCATGGAGAGGAGGAAATGGTGGTTTGGCCGGTTGGATAGGATATGCATAGCCGGTTTAACTGGCATAACTGCCACATCTGCACTGGGTAAAGGTTTCTCCTCCGCAGTCCAGAACGGATGGTCTTCCCGTAGTCCCAGTGCTAGGAAAGATTTCATAGCCCAGTAAGGAGATTGCGGGCTGTTGTAGTCTTCGCTCATGTACATGTTGGGGTAGGTAAAGCCTATTGTCAGAGTGCCGTCGATGTTGAACATGTCGTCTTTCTTGCTCCACCAGCGGAAGTGCCGGAGCAAAAGTCCTTTGATAACGCCCCAGTCGTTGAGGGGTTCCGGGAGCTCGAGCTCGGCGAAAGCGACGACGGACCAGAATCCAGCGAATGCGAAACGGTACGTCAGACTGCGGCCGAAGGGTATAGCGGCACCTGGGGCGCGTTAGTCAGTGTTGGAGTGTTGGGTGTCTGCGGTAGGCATTCAAACATACCATTCGTGTCAAAGTACCGCCAGAACGACACTGCAAATTCCTTCGCTCTACCCCGAAACCTTTCGCACCGCTCTGGATCTAGATCGTGTGCCATCTTTGCATAGATGAGCTGTGAGAATTGGATTGCAAAGCTGCCGGAATAGTAATCTGCTTGTCGTCCCTCGTCGCTCCAGACGCCATCTGCTGCCCAGCCATCTCCTCGGTAGAATTGCTCCATAAGATCCAAATCCGCTTTCATCGCATCTAGTACATGCTCTTTGGGTATACCGCATACTTTGATCAACGCTAGGTTAGTCATAACGCGGAACCACAGCCAATTTGTCGTGGGGAAGTCTTTGCCATTGATAGTCCCCAGCCACTCCGTAATATTCCTCTTCGCTTCTTCAGACTGCGAATGGAACATGGTCTCTGGAGCTGATAGTAGCGCGAACGAGATGATCTCCATTTCCACCATTCGTTGATCGCGTAGTACGACGGGACCCCAGTACTCTTCGTGATGTGGATTGGTACCATTGGCCAGGCCTATGGCGTATGGTTTGATGAGCTCTTCGTACTCGTCTTTAGACACAATGTTCGAGTGCATCAGCGCGCCGACTGCCCATAGCGGTCGGGCGTATCCTTCAAGCTGGGCGGCGACATCGTCGAAATGGGTGCCGGTTGATAATGGGAGTTTGATCCGGGCGCCATGGGGTGATTGATATGGCTTCAGTGCGCGAAGAAGTGCTATTGATGCGGTTCTGAAGTCGGCGTGGGTCTTGAACGGGTTGTTTGAGAAGCCGTTTAGCGGAGGCATGGTGTCTTGAGCGTTGTCAAGAGCCTTTGACGCGTGACCCGAATCCTGATAGTTCTCTCAAACGAAGGCCATGCAGTCGCAGCTCTGTTTGTTCCATAGTCTCCTGAGTCTGGTGGTTCTATGGTGTGACCCGTCTTGGGCGACACCAGTGGATGCGAAAGACGTGTGCCTCTTCGCATCCGAACTTCAATAGGTAGCGCATCCGAAAGATATATCGCTACCGCGTATCGCCATAGGCTCCCGTCCCGTATTGATGAAATCGGGTGGCTTCCGGGGTGGAGTGATGGTGATCAGCCGAAAGGAGGGTTAGACCGCGCGGGGCCCGCGTGTGGAGTAATTATCGATTTATCCCGATGCCCGCCGCTCGCTGCATCCTCCACATTTGCTTCTTCTTGATCAGCGCTTTTGCGATGTCGTGCTGATGTCGGCTGGGTGGACCAATTACTCGGTTGGCAATGGTAGCCAGGCAGGCGAGGACGACGGTCCCGTCTCGGTGGGCGGTGACACGCCCGCGTGCGTTAGCTGCAAGCAACGCAAGCTGCGATGCTCGCGCGAGACACCCTCGTGCTCGCATTGCTTGAGGCTGTGTGAGTTTTTCTGTCAATTGGCGCTATTTCGCGTCGCTACCTTGCGTCGCTAATGTGCCATAGCCTCTGAATGTGTTTATCAGCCAAAGAACAAACCTGGCCTTAAGCCCGGAGCTGTTGAGGCGTTGACCCGCCGCGTCGGTATGTGGTCCTCCTTCTACGATGAACTCAATCTTACGCTCCGTAGCCTTTCTGGAGAGGATACTGCTGGATGATGCGGGAAATATCCGGCCGCGGTATAGAGACGATGATACCACCGCGAATGGCCATGCCGTCGCGCATGAGAGCCCCAGTGCTGTAAAAGAACGCGCACCTCGCGTTGAGGAACACGCGCCGTATGTCGCGCCTACTCCCGATTATAGCCACGACCACCAAACCGCAGAGGATGGCTCCAGAGCTTCCGAAGAAGAGAACGGCGTGTCCAATCCGCTGAAAAGAAGATTCGAGATGCCAATTGCTGAGAGTTGGCTTTTCCCCTTCGAAGATGTTGATATCGCGCAGCATTTGCCATCTCAACCACTGCTCGAGAAGGTCGCAGACTTCTTCTGTATCTCATTCCATCATTGGATTCCATATATTCATAAGGCGAGACTCCAAACGCGAGTGCGCCAAGGTTGCCAGGATCCAGGACATGTGTTGGTCCTTCATGCTTTGGTCGCCGTTGCTCTGCGACATATGGACCCCAACGTACTATATCTGGATAACGATCAGATACTCCAGCAGACAAGGGTCTCCCGGATGATTGTGGAAACTCATGCGATGCGCAATGTCACCATCGAAAGCTTGCAGGCCCTCATCTTCCTAGTTTTTGATCTTCTCAATGACGGTCAAACACAAAGAGCGTGGCCGTTAATCGGGTCGCTCACGAGGACTATAGACTATCTCCAACTTACTACTGAGCCATCAACATCGCAGTCGGGATCACTTATGACACCTGTGCGGTTAGTGAAGCCCTCAACCGACTGGACGGAGTTGGAAGAGCGACGAAGATTATTCTGGATCATATTTCTGCTCGATCGGTATTGTTCGGTGTCTACGGGATGGAACACCAGTCTCACAGCAGATGACGTGCATCGTCGGTTACCGGCAGACGGCGGTTTCTTCACCAGAGAAGAGCCGGTGACCACACCCTACTTCGGCATCTGGAACAAAGCCGCCGCTCGCATTGGGCGTTCACTAGCAAACGTGCCCGCGCAATACAACGAAGAGGACCCAGGCGTGGACCACTTGCCCCCAGGAGCCAGTCCCAATTCCGCCAACGGCTACATCGATGCTTCCAAGCTAGGCGCATTCGCATACTGTGTCGAGGCTACCGAGAGCTTGAGTCAAGTGACGACATTCTTCCTTCAACAAAGGATCAATTGGCAAGACAAGGAGCATGCAGTCAGTTGGCTGACACGCTTCAAGGAGCTAGACTTGAGGCTTGTGCAGTGGAAGATATTCTTGCCACCCAGGTGGAAGGACTCCAATATCTCGTCAGACAGGACTGTGGTCGACATGGATCCTAACCTGACTCTAGCCCACATTACGCATAATACGTCTATGATCTTACTGCACCATCCAATCGGATACCCACCCCGCGGATGGAACGACTTCGTCGCATTACCAAAAGAATGCAGTGCTCAAACCTGCGAGCTCGCCGCCGTAGAAACTTCAAACATCGTCGACAAATTTCTCACCCATACGCCCATACCATTCGTTAACGTCCAATTCTCATTCTGCGCCTTCATCGCCGCCAAAGCACTACTCTTCGAACACCAAGCCACCCGCAAACCTCTACGATCAGAATTCCACCGACTAATCCACAACCTCGAGGAAATGGCCGCAAGATGGAAAGGAAAAGGCACAGACGACGCGAAGCCGAATAACCAAGCAGCAATCTACGCAAACCACCTCAAACGACTCCTCGAAGCCTGTCAAAACGACGCAAATTTTCGCTTCGACTTTTACGACCACAACGGCCTAACCCTCGACCCACAAAACTATGCCAGCCCGACTTACGCAGCAACACCACAAGCGCGTTCCAGAAGCCTTGCGCATGAACGTTCTTTGATGAGGAATCACGGACGTACCAACAGCTTCACCAGTTCACACTCAACTCTCAGCCCACGCCGCATCCCGCCTCCAGACATAACCCGGAACACAACCATGCCCTCTCCCAGCAACTACGAGCAACACCACCCGCGTCTCCCAAGCGCGCACGCGATATCACCATCCGGACAGCCGCCACCCCCTATGTACGCATCTCCGCAAGTATCAGCTAGTTACCCGAACCATACCCCATTACAGCAGTATCAACAGCCCGGAAACGGAGTCCCGGTCTCTGGCCCCTCGCTCGCTCCGTACGGTAATACTGGTACGACGGGGAACCAGCATAGCACTCAAGACCAGTCGCTGCTTAATCTGTCGGACGCGTTTATGGACAGTCATTTTCTGGATATGGATCGCGTGATCACATTTGAGGATGCGAATTTCTTTATTCCGGGGGATGCGTTCCGGTGGCAGTAAGCGTGGAATGGGTAGGGTAGGGACGGTGATTATGGGAGATGTGGTGTAGTCTGATAGGTACGTCTATCTCTACCAACGTACCTATCCGGCTATGACCAGCTGTTGGATCGCTTGAAACATCGTGGTATTCAACGATCCAGCAGCTGGTCATAGCCGCATAGGTACGTTGGTAGAGGTAGACGTGCAAAGTCAGGGGATGAGTATAATAGATGCTGAGCTTGTGATAGTTGAAGCAAGTGCTACTTCGACATGATTTTTCATGGATGACTACAAGAAACGCAACCAGGAAGAATGAATACATCAGCTTTTCCAGCCTGTCGAAACCTTCCTTTACACCCTTTGTTCCAGCGACGCCACTCTAGGCTCGCACTGAAGCACCTGTATGAGCGCATGCAACACAAACCGCGCCTCCAGATCCAGGTCCCTCCGGGGGCTCATCGCCTCCTCCACCCTCATCACCACTATAGTCATCATCATCTTCAAACTCAGACTCGTCATCTTCATCTTCGCTCCGAACAGACCCAGACCCCGAGTAGTACCCTTCGCTTTCATCCAACGGCTCTAGCTCGGGCATTGAATCAGACTCATCTTCCGACTCGTACTCAGAGGACAACTCAGACTCATCCTCAGCGTCATCCCGGGTCGGCAATCCCACATCCGGACCCGCCTGCTGCAGAGCCTCAAACGTACGCTGTAGCACTGTCTCCTCCAGCATCATTTGTGCACGCAGGTTTCCTACGTGTGTGAGTGTAATGCGATCCATCATCTCTGTGTATCGAGCATGCGCCGCCTGCATGCCCTCTCCGGATCGAGCTCTCGCTGCCCCCAACCCCACGTCGGTTCGAGCCTCCATGCCCCGAGCAAACCAGTTGAACCATCTTCCGGTTGGTACAGTCTGCGATGGGAAAAACTCGGCGCGACAGAATGGACAGCTGTTTGCCCTGGTGAGCCAGCTCTCTAGACAATTGCGGCCGAAGATGTTGTTGCAACAGGTGACCTTGACGGGGGAGTGATCTTCATTTGGTTCAGCGGGTGCGCTGTTGGCGGCGATGGGGTCGTTGTCTTCGGCGGAGCTGTCAGTGATGGTGGTGCCGTTCTGTGCAGCTTCGCCTGAAGGGCTCGCGGATGAGGCTTCAGGCTCGTGAGGCTGAAGATCCTCACGACAGATAGGACAGGATGGATCGGAGGGCGGCATGGGACATGCCTTCATGTCCGAAGCGACGAAGGCTGCTTTGGAGTCGTAGAGAGGCATTGTTGGTCGTAATGCTGGTGCTGGTACTGATTTGGTTGAACGCAAGTGCCGGTAGAGCTGAATGGTGTGGTGGTTCTTGTCGTGAACGGTGGAGGTGCTTTGTACATATACAATCAGGGGATATTGTATAGTCCCAGAGGGCCCACTAGTCGGTGAAAGACTGCTGCCATTGCTTCTGCTATGACTATCCATAGCTTTCACAAGGCAGCCAGAGCCGAGTCCCGTAGGAGTTCCTTGCTTTCACTGCCCAAGAATGTTTCACCCCCGATGTCGCTGCTGTAGACCGAGGTTTGTGTAGGAACGTCGTCGAGGCGTTGTGTCGAAGCTCGTCTGGTCTGGAATCCGAGGGATGGCGCGAAGACCCGAGTACGTCCTCTCCTCAAGACCACTTCGCAATATTGTTGGGAATAAGCTTCTTAAACATATCCAGCTGCTTCGCATGCACCGCCATCTTCTGTTCCAGAATCTCCGGTCTCAATTGCAGCGTCCGATCCACCCTCTGTTGATTCCCACTATACACGACCGTATAATCTGGCAAGCGGGTGTAAGGCGGTATAACCGAAGAAGCCGATATAGTGCAGTACTACAGCATGTTAGCCCCAACCTCCGCGAACGCGACCAAAGCATAGAAAGTATACGCACCCTCCCAATGATACTGCCCCTCCCCAGCACAGCCCCAACCTCAACCACACTCCCCTCACCCACCTCCGCCGCCTCAACCACAGCCCCAGAATCAACAACCACATTTCTACCCAACACCGTTCCCTCACTCCTCATAGATTCCCTCACACCCGCACTCCCCCTTGCAGGAGGTGCCATACTGCCCCTCTTCCCCTCCGCATCCCCCTCAGCACCCATACCAACACCCACTTTCGCACGTTCAAACACCACACAGCCCTCGCCGAGGACGACTGGTGCGACTGCGCTACTGAGTTTGCTATGTGGGTGTAGAACGGTATTAGGGCCGATTGTAACGGGGTGCGTGCCGGTGATTTGCGCGTGCTGCGCGATGAGGACGGTGGTGTCGAGGAAGATGGAGGAGGGTTTTGGGAGGATGGATTGGCGTTTTGGGGCGCCGGAGGTGCGGCGGTGGTCGTTTGAAGGGCGGGGAGGGGCGGGTTGCGTCGACATGCTGTGTGGTGTAGGATTTGTGTATGGAGTCTATGAGTGTTGATGGTAGGGAAGGGTAGATGGCGGACGCGCTAAGGTTCTACTTAGCGTGTCGCCAAGTCACCTGACGCGAGCGTCGGCATGGGTAGGTACGTTTCGCCAATGTCGTACCTGCCTCGTCTTCGGCACAACACAAGATCAAAGTGCGAACCTCTCTAAGAAAAAAAGCATGTTGCGGCTATATTGGGTGCTCCAGCTCAACGTAAAGTACAATATCCCAAGAGATAGATCGAAGGGGGTATCTCATAACCATGCATTACTACATACATCATGCCAATCCATCGCGTAAACCTACATGAATTCTCGCAATGCCCATCAACAGCGACATCGAACAACACATCAACGATACCGCTGACGGCGCCCGCGCCTTACCCACTTACCACATTCGTAAACACATCAACAACATACTAAACCACAGCCCTCCTCTCCTCCTCCTTACCCTCCCCACCGCTTGGACCCCGCTCCAACTCCGGACTGCTCACCTTTTCGGGACTAGCCACTTTGATCGGACTCCTCCTGCCCACCTCCTGGCCCTCCACTTCAATGCGTCCTAGTATGCTCTCCTCGTCCTCTCCCATGCCTTCGATGCTGTGCAGACTGTCGTCGTCGGAAGAATCTTCGATGCCTTCGAACATGCGCGCGAAGCGCTGGTGCCCTTCGCGTTCTTCTTGTTCTTGAGTTTTCGGGGCGGAAGGGTCGTCTGGGTCTTCTTCTGCTTCGCGCGTGGATTCGAGTTGCGCTTTGCGTTGGGCGAGACGGAGGGCGAATTGGCGGCGGGCGCGCGACGGGGGGATCTGGAGGGGCGGTGGGATGCTGGGCTGTAAGTAGGTGTTAGTGGAGATGGTCAATGGAAAGATACGATGACTCGTAGGGCGGAGATGGAACGCAAGCAAATCGGAATCTACAGAGAAAGGGTGAACAAAGGGGAAACAAGCAGATGGAAGCGAGGAGGAAAGAGGACACCATACCAGATCAATGAAGCCCAATCATCCAGTTGTACATCACACAAAGGAGATGAGAGGAAACCACATCTCACGATGCGTATTACTACATGTATCATACACCCTGTCGGATGGCGCAAGGAATGTATGTACAGAAAGGATGATGATAGGCCCATAGATCTAGCATGCGAGCCTTCTGTCCGTTCCCGCTCATGATACAAACAAGTATAAGAAAAGGAAACGCACCAAGGGCGGGAAACATTCGTGGTATAGTGTGTATGCTCGGGGCCATGGACTTATCGATAGTCCATATCAGCATCGTCAAATGAGATTTCACCCACTTGTTCGGAGTCGTCGACAGGTCCCTGTCGTTGTTCCCGCTCTCTCTCGGTGTCGACATCGTCCATGTCTTCGTCTTCTTCGTCACTCGAGTTAGTAAAGCCACTAAGCAAGGAGCCTCCGCTGAAGGTGTACCCACCACCCTCAGTGTCACCAGCATTGGTGAGCTCCATGCTGTCGAGGCCTATGTTGCCGTTGTTGGCGAGGCTTGCATTGGAGAGCCCGCCACTATCGCCTCCAAAGTTGTTGTTTGCCGCGTTGACGGCGTTGAGCACAGCTTGTCTGGGCCCGACGCTCATGTCGGGTCGCACGCCTCCGAGAATGGCGTTGTCGCGCTCTCGCGTCTCGGCCAGAATATGCTCCACATAATACACCCACTCTTGAGCGTGGACCTTCTCTAGGACCATCTGCGACAAGACTTCATCGGTATGTCGCTCTGTAAACTTCAACACCTCTTCTGCAATCAGGGTGAGGTGACCCATGTATCCTAGTCGCATGGACGTTTCTTGGTGCGATTTGTCGCTCTCCTGCTGTCCTTTGATAATGCGCTCGGTAATGCCTCCGTTGTCGAAGAGGTCAATCGCTAGCTGACGGTTGTATCCACGGTCCATCTGGCCGTTGAAGACTTGCTGAACGACGTCGTATACTACATTGTGTAGAAAGTTGTTCCATGGGAAGCGGAAGAAGAAGTCCTGCAAATGTTAGCATGTTTCGCTGGAAGATCTGGAAGGTGCTTACAAGTATCGTTGGTACTACTTTATTCTCAACGAATGTGATCTTCAGCAAGTCGCCAACAACAGGCGTACCGTCAATGTCGATCTCGAAGCCTGCAGCATCCTCTGCATTGCCGAATACCACCGAACGCACGCTCTGAGACTCGTCGATAGGAGTTATCTCCGAAAGATCTGATCCTGCTACTGGTGCGGTGAAGCGCGAGGTGTCGATGCTGGCTGGTTCGGCTTCACTTTTGCGGTTCTTACCCGCAAACAGTGGCGCTGGTTTGTCGTCTGGATGAGGTGAAAGACTCTCGGACTGTTCAGCAGTGGTGGTATCCGAGGTCTGGTTGAGCTGCTGTGTGAGAAGAGATGGCGGGGTCTTGACATCGGTATCCGACTTCTCGGTCTTCGCAGGCTCTGTCGGTTCCTGGCGGTCGTTCATAACGGTGTCGGTATCCAGTTCAAGCTCATCGACCTTGGCACTCAGGCCGGCTGACGTAGGTGACTCGGCATCATCTGCAGGCTTAGGTGGAGATGCAGGCTTCTCAGCAGTTGCTGCAGCGTCTTTGGGTGGTGTCAAAGGCTCGTCAACAAACTCGCCGTCATCGCCTACCGCCTTGGCAGCGGACGATTCCTGTGGCGCATCTCTCGGCGGCAGCTTCGGCGAGGGCTCCAATGGCTCTCCAATCTGCTCTTTCTCCGTTGCCGTGTCTTTGGCCTCCTCGACAGCGACTTCCGGCGCGACAACCTTTTCAAAGTCGTCTTCCGAGCTGTTCTGTACATGCAGAGGTTTTATCTCTGCAGGAGAGTCCATAGATGGGGCGCGCGCATGGTGGAAGCCTTGGCTATCCACACTGGTGGAGAAATCGCCTGGATTGCCGGAAATCGCTGAAGTCAATTTGCCGTCAGCCTTGAGACGTTCCCGCTCGGCATCTCGTCTCCTGACTTCAGCCTCGCTGCCCCGTTCGTTGAGCAGAGCCATGTTACTGCAGTGCAGCAACTCGGCCATCAGCTCACAAGTCTTAAACCGATCAAATCCAAGCGGTTCGATCTTCTCGCCAAAGGCTGTCTTGAGCTCTCGCTTCTTCTTGGTAGTGCTGCCATCGCGCTGTGTCACGATCTGGCTTGAGCTATTAACCAGCTCCATGAACTGCGGGATATGGTTGGCGAATTGGCGAAGCAGTGTTCCCAGGTAGATGGGGTCTGAGTTCTTGGGTACCGGCCCAATCTGATTCTCCAAATCATAATCGGAGTTGTTCTTTCTGATAACCTCGATGATGATACCCACACCGACTGTGAGCGGGTTGCCGCCTTGCAGCATAAAATCGATCAGCTGTTTCAGACATTGTTCGGAGACAAGCTGGCGCGTAAGCTCGTTAGGCCCGATGACGGACTGGTCTTGCGTGGTAGCGTTTGCGGATATCGTAATGATAGCCTTGAGGAAGTCGCCAGCTGACGTTTGTGTGGAAGTCGACTGATCGGGGGCGAGGAATGATATCAGGCGGGGAACGAGGTTCTGTTGTTGCAGCCACTGGAGTCTGTTAGTCATGCCAGCAAGCGTGTATGTGACGACTTACGTCAACAATGCCCTGCCCGCCCTCGCTCTTCTCCAGGCTGATGATCTTCAACAGCAGGTCCATGATGACAGGGCAGTCGACGTGCTGCAACATGTCTGTTACAACATTGTCCAATGACTTGAAGAAGTCGAGCATCTCCTCCATCTTGCGGTCGAGCAGCGACTCGTTGACCTTGGTGAAGTAGCCAGCCTGGACGGGGTCGAGCGGCGCAGGCTGCTTGATGTAGGCCCAGAACTGTCGCAAGGTGTCCTGGTTCT